CCCCCCCCTTCCGCTTCAGTGGTCTACTGTCCTGAAAGTCATCACGTTTACAGTGTATAGAACGTGAGGAACGCCAAGGGACATACCATCTCTGGAGCAAAGAAGAGCACAGGCTGAAGGGAGCGGTGTAGGAGCCAGCCAGGATCTCGGTTCGGGTGAATATAACTTTTTTTCTTTTTTTTAGCTCCCTAGACAAAACGAGCACTTAGTGACAATAAAGTCAAAAGAATTTTAAGCCATTTCAAATGCTGATGAAATCACTCATAATGGATGATGCTTCTTAAAGTTTGAAAGTTTTAGTTTCCTACAGAATCAGCCGGTCCCCTGAGTACTGGTCCTGACTTTCTGTTTCCTTTCTCAAGCAGTGCTATGCAGTCACCCTTGTGTGTGCTGGTAAGTTGTGTATGTCTGTACAGACACAGCAAATCAAGCTACACCCCTCCTCCAAGCTAGTAGATGAACAGTTGCTGGAATCTGCACTGCCCTGCGATCTTGTACTGGAAAGGAAGTTTAGGGAAGCAGAGCCAAGAGGCTTGGAAGCAGCTGTTCAGAAACATGATGATTGTAAGTGCTTAGGCAAAAATGTAAAGCAATGCTTTGTCGGGCAATGCATATGTGTTTGATCTGGATTAATTATTGAAAAAAGTTTGAGAGTTTAATACTACTTTAACCCTTGTAGTGTGGGGGAAGCTGCGCTGCAAGGATTAGGATCCGTTTTGCCCAGAGTTCTGCTTTTATGAAGGACTTCAGGAAAAACTGATCATAACCATACCATGGGGCTTGTTTTTGTCTAGGAGCGAAAATAAAGATATACTGACCTGAACCTCGGAGCCGTCCTTGCAGCTGGTCTCATCCTCCGCTCCAGCGATGGTATGTCCCTTGGCGTCCTCACATCCTATACACGTAAAGTATGTGATGACTCAAGGATACTTAAACCGTTGGAGCAGAAAGGGAGAGGGCTTCAGGGGCCGGTCTAAGAGCAGGGTGGCTGTGAGAATCAGGCGAATAGAATGTTATGTTCTGCTCCTAGGCAAAAACGAGAACTTTAACGCTTGCAGTGCGGGGGTAGCTCTCATCCAGACCTCGTCAACTCTTTTCTACCTTCAAGTCTCTATGTCCTCCACCACCCACTAAATCACTCACTGCCCAGGACATTGCCATTCATTTCAAAAACAAAAAAGATACAATTCGAGATCAGATCGCCACTGTCCAGTCAACTGCCCCTTTTATTATAGTACCTGATCCTCCATCACACTTGTTAGTTTCCTCTTTTGACCCTGTCACCACAGAGGAGGTTACAAAGCTTCTCTCTGACACCCACCTCACCACTTGCCCCCTGGACCCTGTTCCCTCAAAACTACTTCGGTCACCCTCTTGCTCTATCCTAGACTCTCTTACCCACATTTTCAATCTTTCCCTCTCTACTGGAATCTTTCCTACCCCACTCAAACATGCACTAGTCACCCCAAATCTCTGCCCCCAGATATACATCAGACCTTGTCTCAAAGTATCACCCTAACCGTCCCCTCCCTGCCCGCGTTCCAGTACCGTCTTATTGTGACGTAAACTTTGTCTGTAACGCTGTATTTCAAATAAATGACGTTTCGGGGCCACGCAGGGACCCTTCATCAGGGCGACAGTGACCAAAACTATGTCACCCTGACGAAGGTACCTTGCGTGGCCCCGAAATATTGAATATTGGATATATGCGACGCTGTTTCATGATAAATGAATACAAGGATTTGACACTATTTGTGTATCACTCAGTTGAAGATCCTTACATCATCTCTGAATTGGCGCTGTCCTTCCTTTTGGAGGGTGGCTACCTTTGTTCCCGTGGACCCTCTGTGTAGCCACCACTCCAAGCTTGCTCCCGTGATGGACTACAATCTCACATTTAGTTGACAAAATTGTATTGAGATTGTAGTCCATCATGGGAGTGAGCTTGGAGAAGTGGCTACTTTACAACACACACACAGGAAACAAAAGTAGCCACCCTGCAGAAATAAGTACAGTGTCAGCACAAATTGAGATGATTTGGAGATCTGTGGCCAAGTGATGCACAAATAAGATACATGTCACTTTAAGCAACTGTGATACAATGGCACACTGCCCATTACCCCCATTGTGCATTAACACAACATACCGGAGAAGACATGTATGAATAAACCCGGTGTGATTAGCTCAGTTAGGCAATTACTCTGTGGCCGACGACATTTAGAAAATTCTCGCACGCGTGGGGCTGAGTAAACCAGCTGCCATGCGCAGAACAGCTTTAGTCCATCCTCATTAGTTCATATACTCAGAAAATGTCTTACCATAAATCCTTTGACCTCCTGATAAATATCGTTAAATTCTAACGTGTCAGCCATTGTGCGTCACCGGACATTCGCTTTCCTTCCCGCCACCGCACTCTCAGCCGCCGGAAATCACTTGAAAATGCACTGTATACAGTCGGGTCTCCGTGTGTGACGTCACTTCCCCTCCCGGTAACCTATTACCTTAATCTAGCGAAATAGGGAGTAGTTGTCCCTGCCGCGGAGGCGGCCATGTTGTTGGTTAGTAGCGGTAGTTCTATAAAATAGTGGTATAGTAGTGGCTGCTGATATGTAGTCTAAAGTCATCGATTACATAACTGGAGTACATAGAAAGCTTTAACACGCGACAAGCGTCATTACAGAGCTGATTATAAGATTGTCTTCTTTCATATCCTGGAACAGACATGTCGAAGAACGGTCTGGATAGGTGGTTGTACCTTTATCCGAGAACCCAACATTGACAGATATAAGGACTAATTTACACTGTCCACTTACGTTTTCACAAAGAGATCTGTCTGCAAATTCTGTCAGGCTGGATGCTTAATATGATGCGCGTTTATACGAATATGCTTTTTTTTTTTAAAGCATTTGTCCTTTAAAAAGGGCCGGTGTTAGTCTACTGTGCGCTCT